TTATAAAATTAGTGCAGAGGAGGCGAAATTAGGACCTGTCCACCTATCCCAGACAGGTAGAATTCTTTACAAATGAAATTCAGTTTGGATACAAAAAATGCATGAATAGCATATCCTGTTTGATTTCTGACCATATATTACGATTTTGTAAGAGTCATTTAATACATATAATTTCTGTTGACACTAGACCAGCCAATTATTCACTCTAAATTATTAACTATGCTTTTGGTGCATATTACTTTATATTTGGCATGAATAACTTTCCCTCTAATTCCAACGGGGACTATGTCATTAACAATGACTGTTGTTATAGATAAAAGCCTTTGCTTAAAATATTGATTACCAAATATTACCAAAACTACTATATATCATATTTATTGATCCAAGCAGTGTTTATTTATTTAATATTTTTAGGTTTTTTTCTTGGTCATTGTTGCCTATTTAAGAATATGATGAGCATGAATAAGTACACTGGTTTATGAAACAAAAATTACTAAATTTCCTGTTTTTTTCAACAACATAAAAGCATTTTCCTAGTAGTATTGATAGGTTAATAGAATGCCCCTATCCACCAATCTTTCAAATCATCACAGCATGACACCTTTATAACACTCGCATTTTAATTCAGCTTTAAAACATTCTTATTTCCACTCTAATTGTTGTCAATTTGAGTACTGTGATTGATTGTTTCATGGGTATATGTTAGCGTATATAATCAACAACGCCAGTTGATTAACCGTTTAAATGTAAAATGCTACTCATGAGTTCTAACATGCTATTTCAGCCATACAGTATTTTCACTTAAATTCTGCAAAAGGTATATTCCTGTGAAGAGATTATTGGCATTTTAACTATTTAATAGCATTTACTAATTCATGATTCAAATTTGCTAAAATGGCCAGTACAGTAAAAGTGTTTTAACTATCTAGCATGCCTAAGATGAATTTTGTAGGAATTCATAGTCAAACTGGAATTCCCAAAAATCAAGTTGAGTCAGATTGTTGACTGCCGAGGAGAGATGTGTTCAAGAAAATTAAAATACAATTGTATATAACTGTGTCTAGGTGAATTAGGGCACACACAAAAATGTTCTTTGTTTTTACAATTATTTTGTTTAAAAATGCAAATTTTGTTTTACCAAATTCCAAGGTGTATATAGATATATGTATGATTTTCTATTGCATCAATGATGCGCCAGTGAATTAGTATATCTAGCTGCGTCACATGAAATCTCTGTGCGTCAGTGGTGCGTCATATTGGCTTAAAGGGCAACTGGCAGCAGCTAGCTCAACCTTTGTTTTCTGGAACTTATTTTCAAGATGGTTGACTCTAAGTGTATTCGTGATCTATTCACATACATTCAAAAGATTGATAGGAATAAAATTGCCATGTGCAAGACTGTTTGAGGAGGTTTAGTCTAGAGTTCATTGATTGTGTCTCCAACATCAATAACCTCACAGACTATGGTGATGTGTATTTTACCTGATCACAGTATGGTTTCCTACAAATATGTTATTAGTAATTTCAATATTATTAATATAAATAAATACATATCCTGTGTGGTGTAATCAATATGTCTTATATTTCTAACAAACTCAACATGTTTTTATTTTACAGAGACTATTTATTTCGACTCTCATTAGACGATTTAACAGAAATTGAGGTTTGTTTTTCATATTTCTAGATTCCAATCTATTGAATACTGTATTTGTTATATTAGAAGCACATCTTCAATAGAAGCACACATAAACAGGGTTCCTGTGGAAGTCTTAACCCAATTTTTCTTTTTTTAAGTCTTTGAAAATGTTAAATTATGAGCTATCTTTTGGAAATGTTTAAATTATGAGCTATCTTTTTGCAATGTAAAGTAAATGTCAGAAAAACTTTCAGCATTCAAAATTATATACTTGGACTAGATTATTGCTAGGTAATCATTTATTCAATTGCTCACAACATGTCTTTACCCATAATCCTTCGCTGGAGAATCAAGATGGTGAAATACATAATACTGATGAAAAGTTGAATAATCTATAGAAGAAAAATTTATATCAATTGCATTCTTCTACATTTGTGCAGCTTTTTCATTTCAGAGCAATATGTAATTTGACTGGTCTTTATAATTGATGTAAAATAAATATTTATAATTGATGTAAATGAAAGGTATATCTATCAAAATATGTCATGTTTTACTGATCCTGCATACAATAAATGTAATAGCTGGTTTGTGTGGGCTTCTGTTGGAGATGCACTACCGGTACTAATAGCGTGAATATTCTATATGCTAGACCAAATGTACTTATTCTATTTCAAATCTTTTCTCACTACAAAATTTGACGTATGAGTATTTATAATAAATTTCATGTATGTTATCTCCCATTCTACGATCAGTTACGGAATTGAAACACGATATAAATTGTTCAATGACTCTATATTCTCTGATTCAGAAGTTTGATAATTTGAAACTTCCTGTCAACCAGCGTAACTGTACAACTATAAGTTCTACACTACAGTTGGATAAAGAATTCCTTTTTTAAACAACATTTCACAGACTATTATTCTTCAAACTATTTTAACTAAACGTAATGTTTAGCATAACTAAGTCTCAAAACAATTAGTTGTATTTTAATGAGAAAAATAAATGTACTATATGCTAAATGTTTTCATACATATTAATATCAGACCATACACATGAAGCCCAACAGTACCTTAATAGTAAACAATGTTTTGAGCATTATTAAACTTCCATTGAGTCAAAAAGATGCCATATTTGTGTATTATAACACATTTCTAATAGAGGTTAAAATGAATCATTGAACCACAAATCTTTTTGCCATAGACAGTGATTCAGTAATTTATGCAAACTTATAGGCACGACAAATAGAGCAATTCACATTACCGGTAGGTACCAGATATAAAGTAAAACAACATTTCTATATTCTCCAAATAATGAGATTGGCAAAAAAAATTGTAAGTTCAGTTCTTTAAATTATAGAAGATGTTGTCATTATAATTATATTACTATCAATGTTTCTCTCACTGTCTCAAAGTTGTATAAATGACCATAAAAGATTGATTCATCTTGTTAGTATTTGTTTTGAAATTAAGCTGGTCAAGTTGGCATTTGATCAAAAAACTTTTATTTTTTATATAATCAAGGATTTGCAAGGGTATGTATTAAAGTTAGCTTCATGATAAAGATCCCAGCTTGTACCCATGTGCATGTCCATTGAGCTTGTTCTAGCCAATGGCATCATAGGACGTTTGGAAACACCTGACTGTAGAAACAGAACTGAGCATAGTTTAAAAGACAAACATAATGCAAGTATGCTAAAAACACATTTCATTTGTAGATTCACAGATTTGCATTTGCATTTCTAGAAATAAAAAATTATTTTGTGATGTTGTAATCATCTCGTAATTTATGTGATTTTAAATGGGATCTTTATGACATATAACAACAGGCATATACTCTTATCTCCTTGATATAAATTATAAATAGCTTGAAATTAACTTTTTGGAAAGTTTACTACCCGCATATTTTAAAAATCAAATCAGATCATTTGTACAAAACATTGGTGTGAGTAACCTAGGCAATGCTTTGGTGGCTGAATACATTGTAAACTCAAGTGCTGCTTCACTACTAACAAATCATCAGTGACGTTTGGTGTGTCATGTTATTTTGCCAAGACTCTTACACATGTACATATAGTTGATTCAATGATTGCCTCTTGATATTTGTCTGTAATTTTACTTTATTTTGAAAACATTACAGGCAGTTGAATGGGAAGCAGATGATACTGCTGTAGAGGAATGCCGAATCAAAGGAAAGTCCCAAGTGAGTCTAAATAATAATAGTCATACCAGCTGTGCGTCATTACTAGATGTCATTTGGGGACTATATATGTAATGCAATGGAAATGGATAGTAAATTAAATGTCTTACCAGCTGCAGATTGTATTATGTCATGATGAAACTATTTATGTGCTTTTATTTGCTCTGCTGTTGACTTTAATAGGGCAGAGTTATTCATATATTGCTGTCTTTTGTCATAAATTATTACACTTTTTTCTTTAAAACTCTTGGCTGTGTCTGTTTCATACCTACTACAAATATTGGGTGGTTCTCTCTTATTTGTTCATTTTATTGAATTGCGTATTCCAATTGCTTTGATATTTGATTTGTAGGTACCTTGATTGTACCTCTATCAGATTTGTTCAACCGTTGAAGATAATTTTCATTCCTGTAATTCTGTACAGTAAAACTCTGGTGAAGTTATGTTTGCCATTTTAATTGTGTTTGAGCTGATGAAATTTTGTTGTTTATTGTTTTTGTATGCAAATCTTTGATCCCATGATGCGTAGTATGCAAAACTGAAAATGTTTCAAATTTTCACATGTCCAAATTCAATTATTACAAACTTGTATGCTATTTACTGAAAACATGACTAGACTACCTAGTTAACTATTGAAAGGTCACCAAAAAATATGTTTCTTGATCATCATGGCATGGATCATTAAAAAAAAAACACCCACTATTAACGGTGATTAGATCATGAGATGAGTCAGAATACTTATTCCATGGTGAATACTGTAGTAGGATAAATATTCACTGGATTCAATTTATCAGATATTATGATCCTGTATGTTTTTATAATATTTAATTAAACTCACTGGTTTGTGAAGAAAACAGTACTTTCTTTTGCATACTCACTAAGTATGTCAGGGACCTACTCTAAAGTTTGTGAAGTAAAAAATAGATTATATGGATGGCTTTGCATATTAGGGGTTTTAATTTTGAACATTTTCTTGTCAGTGAAATTAGGTGAAAATAAATTAAATCATTGAATAATTAAATCCTATAGAGTCGTAAAAAGTGGAAGTGACACCAATCATCACTTAGTATCTGCATTTTGAAACCAGTTGGATATAATTTTTCACATCAATGAACTAATTGACTAAGTCTAAAGGTGACTTGTCTCATAGTACAGCTGTTGGTGAAATCATGATGCTAAGGAATTTCAGAGATATTCGGTTCACTAGGATCATGTAAAAGTCATCATTCCCAGAGCCAGTACTAGCTAGCATTAATTGTTTTTGCATGTAAAAACGTAGTTGTGGTATTTCTTGTAATTGATGTCCATCCATTAATTGATTACTTTTGGTGGTGGCTGAACTGGAAAAAATAGTTTGAGAAAAATTACAATTTATTACATTTTTTGAATGGTTGAACTGAAGTAGCTGTATTATGGTTGTGGATTTCAAGATGTCATAAGTGGAGATATTATCAAACAGGAAAAGTGGGAGCCTAGAATCCAAACACAAAAACTCAAAGTTATAAATAGTTAGATTGATTTGCAAGTGAATATAGACATTTCCTGCCAAGTGATTGAATAGAAGTGTTTTCCGGTTCCCCAAGTTCTCTTGTTGCTTCACTACTAGCACATGAAAGGGTGTTTAATCTATGTGGATTCATTTCCAGTCAGCAGGAATACGTAGTTATTTTACTATACCAGCTCAGTTTTGTTGATTCTGTATTTTAGGCATTCAACATTACCTGGAAACTTTTCATAAAATATAGAAAATGGGTTTTTTATTCATTCAAAATGAATATGGACAATATATTATTTATATCATTATGATATCAGTACATATCTTTGTAAACTATTTCTGAGGGACAACATACAAGCATATATATATTAAACTGAAAATATGAGGTTATTACGAGAATTTTGTGATGTATGTACAAAGGCAGTGAGTGTGGCGTTCATATCGACCATCCCATAGCGGATCTTAATGTGTTCCCATACTGCACATTTTGCGATATTCTTTCGTTAACCTATTATATCATAATGAAAAGATTACTTTTATGTTTTCTGTGTGTTTCTGAGGCCCTACTGTTGAATTCTGATAACTACATTGTGTATCCCATATCAAGGATACATCCATTGCTTGCATGTCCTCTGATGATGCCATACTTGTCACAATGTACCGGTAGTATTATTTCTTCATTTCCTGCTGCTCCTGATTCAATTATTAAACCAGCTTTGTTGGAATGTATATATATATGTATATATTAAACGTATGTCGCAAAAAAAGTTATCATGGTTATTGCAAGTAATACTAGTATTAGTAGTTTTCCTCAACACTTATGGTTAAGCAACTGTAACATTAACACCATATTTAAATTATTTTGCTAATTTTTATGTGTTTTTCGATAATTTCTATGTGAATTTTGTTCCAAACTGACATACTGTGGAATACTTCAGTGAAAATAAAATCCAGCAAATATACCTTTTTTCCTCTATTTTACCTTCAACTCGTCAAAAATCAGTGAAAATATATTCCATACAAAACAACCAAAAGGTCTATTCAGCGAAAATTAATTCCAGCGAAAATAAAGTATTCCACAGTTACTTCCCTTGTCCACATGATCAAAATTTTTGAAAAAATACAAAAAATTGTGCAGGTTATTTTGTGAACGGTTAAAATGGTATCACTCAACACTTTTGATTGAAATAACAGATACTTTAACCTCTTCACCACCATTTCCCTCTTTTCATCACAAAATAGTCTTGTTCATACATAGTCTGCATTTTCCTTCAGAAGATTTTTTGAGTAAAAACTGATCCAAATTTTGTATGTTTACTCCATTCATTCTGATGGTGAAAAAGTTAAAAAAAGAAGATATCCCATAGTCAGCTTGATTGTTAGTAGATCAAGGGTCAAAATAACTCTGCCAGGTTTAAGGACTGCAAGCCTACAAGCATTAACTTTATGAGTTCATTATTCAGGATATAAATCACTCTAGGCAACCTGCTTTAAAATAATGTATCTATTTACAGTAGCTAGCCCTGTTGTATTCAAAAATCTCTAAACACATAGAATTTTTGCTATTTTCGCCAAAGGGATTGTTCAGTGAAAATAAAATCCAGTGAATTTACCTTTTTCCTATATTTTACATTCAAAATTTAATACAAAACACCCAAAAAGTTTTTTCAGGGAAAATTAATTCCAGCTAAAATAAAGTATTTTACAGTGCAGTATGATTTGTCTTTTTGTTTTATTGTTCTTCCATGTTTATTTATTTGAAATAAACTCCTAGTTTGTTGATCAGTTGTGAATTTTATAATAGTTTACATTAACGACTCTAAATACTGATAATGATAGAATAAAATTATAAGAGATATTTGCTTTGAAATTTCATTGAGGCAATAAATCCTTCTATGCAAATTCAATTAATTAAATTGATTTATTATTTCCTTCTGTACATCATCTGACCTTAATTCTCATGGTGATTGGTTTTGTTCAATATTTACAGAAAGACAGACATATAGTGATACTGAGTATGTTATCCTTTTTAGCTTCGCTGGCGACTTTGTCGAGCGGAGCTTATCATATGAGTGATTGTCCGTCGTCGTCAACCGTCGTCCGTGTCAATGTTTTACTTTTTCGACTTCTTCTTGAAAACTACAAGCCTGAATGCTTTGATACTTGGTGTATATGTACCTTGGGTAGACCTCTCTTAGGTTTGTTCGTTTCATGTTGATATCTTCAATTCTCTAATTTTGATGAATATTTTTGTAATTTTTGGTAAAAAGTGATATTTTCGACTTCTTGTTGAAAACCGCAAGTCCAATTGCGTTGATATTACATATATAGGTACTACATGTGAACCTCTCTCAGATTTGTTCATTTTGTAATGATACCTTTAATTCTCTAATTTTGATGAATATTTTTGTCATTTTTGGTAAAAAGTGATATTTTCGACTTCTTGTTAAAAACCTCAAGTTCAATTGCTTTGATATTACATATATAGGTACTACATGTGGACCTTTCTCAGATTTGTTCATTTTCTAATATCTTCTGTTCTTTAATTGCCATGTGCATTGCTAACAGCGGAGCTATCTCAGCCGACAGGCTGCTTGTTTTCCATGTGGGGGTGGGTATAATCCTGTTTGGCCAACTTTAGAAGCCATTTTGCTTCTACATATTTTATGTGTCATACAATAACAATAAACAACAAATTTACTTTTTTTATTGAACCAAATTTATCTATAGTTACCTACAAAAAACGTGGAATAACCAAATATGATGATACATAGAAACATTATTTTGCTATTTGATTTTATATAACTTGTTTGATAGACAGCCATTTGGGTGAAAAATCCATCATTTGAATGTGTCCACTGTATATTGGTGCTGTGCAATAATCAGTGGCGGCAGGCTTTAGGCCATCAACCTGTTATTTTAGACAGGCGCTGCACATTTTAGACAGGTAAACAAATTCACAGGCAAAATTTTGACAAATCTGTCCAACTTGGATTGAAAATTACCAGTAAATTACAAAATAACCATACATATTCAACACAAATTGATCGTAAGTTTGTGGTAACAGACTAGGTACTGCTATCTTTCATTTGATAGTTTTATGACAGGCACTTTCTATTTTCTGGCTATAACTCTGATTGGTGGACATAACATAACAATGGTAGGATGATTAAAAATGGAGGGTTTGATGACCTACTCAGACCAAAATATTGTGACACACACCCACAAATGACAATGTCTGTATTCTACATACCTACAGTTTATACAGTCACCTGCTCAATAAATTATAAAATTATGTGACTTAGTTTTAGTCGACTTTGGCACACAAAGTGATAATCCAGTATCATGCTACATGGTACTTAGGTAATAATAAACATTTGTTTTTATATTACAGAATTGGGTATTACAGCAATACTGTAAAAATTACCCATACTTCTTGTAGCCGATGTGATATGCTATTCCACTCTATCTAATCTTTTCTTGTTTTACTGCAGAATGACTGTAGGAATTTTATCAGGGTGTTGTTGCCATGGAACCAGTCACTATTTGTATGTGGAACCTATGCATTTGCTCCTCAGTGCTCTTGGAGACCAGTAAGTTATATTTTCTTTCTGTCAGAATCCAATATATAAAAATATTTTGCACATGAAATTGATACTCAACATCAATAGTACAAAATATGGTGGCAGTTGTTAACAGTAAGTGAGTTGAAGATTATATAAGCCAAAAATTGCATTTTATATTTTATGCTGATCCCTTAAAATTATAAATTATTATGAATATAGACATGCCTCTGTTTTTTACTAAAGCACATGCACTAATGATAGAATAAATATGATATGCCTTGACTGATCATGTTCATACTATATATATACATCGTACATCATTTTGCTGAATGGCAGTCATTTTAATGTTAAACTAATCAACAAAATTATACATTTCTGCCATTCTGGAGCTGTTTCTCTGTTGGGTGTGGATGGATTTTGTTCAAACTTTATACATACATTGGATATTATGGAATCGTGATGAATGTCATTGTTTTTCAGATTTGAAATGGCTGACTGGTAGCCATTTGTTTTAACAAATGCAGTTCTGAATCCATATCTGAGACATGTTTTGACCATTCATGTCCGAACTATATTATGATAAACAAAACTATATTTCTTAAACTTGTTAACTATCACGGATTATGTAATACAATTACTTGTAAATGTTTGATTTTCATGTATATACAGTTGCTTTCCTAATATACTATCAACTGGTACTGAAATACAATGGACAGTTTACATTAAACATTTTGTTGCAAGACTTTATGCAAAGTGACTGAATGACTTAATTTTGTTTCAGATCGCTAATATTAGTAAAGTACTACACAGTGTGCATGGTACATCTAAGTGTCCTTATGATCCATATCATAACAACACAGCACTGGTCGCATCTACCGGTGATGTCTATAGTGGTACTGTCACTGACTTTACAGCTAGAGATCCAGTCATTAAAAGAGTACATGTACAAGGAAACTTACCAACACTTCGAACAGTGCAGTCTAATTCAAAATGGTTAAGTGGTAAGTGCAAATTATGAGAGCACTTTGAATAACTGCAGTATAGAAAATTCACCAACACTTAGAACTGTCCAGTCTAATTATTAATAGTTGAGGACAATGACAACAACAATAGGAGTATCTAAACTTCTCCAATAAAACTTTGCAGGCTAATAGACCATTTTCCGTACACTGCGAGAATCACGCGTTGTGCGTGAAATCGAACGTAAAAACAGGACAAATAAAGGTCATAGCATCGTAGTGGCGTCAAACATCGCGTGGGATTCGACAAACGCGAAAGTATTTTGGGGACATTTCCATGCTTAATAATGTGCTGTACAGGGGTATGTAGGGGTATACTTAAGTGCTGATCACCCCATCCTTGACCAAGTGGTTCTTTCCTGAACACAGTCTGTTATGAGTCATATGATGCTTTCAGACCAGGTCATGTATAGCACATACCTCTACACATGCTGCCTTGCATGATGGGTGTTGCCCTCAAAGGCTAGGCCCACTGCCGAAACAGTGGATTGGTGTCAGGAAGGGCATCCGGCCAATTATCTCATGCTCCAAAAAACCTTAAATTGCCACTAGTTTATTAAAGGTGAATCCGGCCACCCTCGTCTTCGGGGACCAAACCGGATTTAAAACTCTGGACTACTACTACTACTACACATTTGATGATAGGCAGTTTCGATTAAGTAAGGGTATTCGGAAGCAATATTCCTCTGTCGAAGATCGGCCGGTCGGTGTGAGTTATGAAATAAAGAAATTCTAGTTCAAAATCAAATCGTTCGACGCGCGTTTTTCATACATCTCGCGAGATCTCGCAAATGTACGGAAAATCCCCTATTCACGAGTATTGATAAGATAGGAAGGTGCAAGTCTAATTCAGGAGTATACATGGAATAGAACTGTGCAGACTATTTCAAAATAGAGGTTATGGTCAACTATGGAATTATCCATGGAATAGAACTGTGCAGTCTGCTTCAAAAGGATGGTAATTACTGGTACATTGCTATGGGACTATCCGTAGAAGAGAATTGTGCAGTCTAATGGTGGTTATTGCCAACTATGCAGTATTAGATTTATGTTACCCGAGTTCAAACCCATACTGATGTAGTTTATTTGATATACCCCGGTAGTCTGAACTCTTGTTTGTTTCATCTTTGGATTAACATTTGACATTTGTTCTAGTTCTCTGTTGATATTTGATATCTAGTGAAATAGGTCGGGCACATCTTGGAATGAATGAACCAGAGCTTCTCAATTCCCAAAAGTGGAGCTGTGTCACAGAACATTTTTTGTTGCTAAGATAAACGTGCACCACTGTACCATGTCTTTTTATGGGCTCTAATCCTGAGCAACTAAATTTATATATGTTGCATATGTTGTGGTAATTGTGTTAGACTGTTCAGGGTAGTCTCAACAACTATCTAAGTATCATTTTCTGACAGTTTTCGGCCGATGTTTTCACCGTGATGGTTGCCAGGCGTTGAAAATGCACTTAATTTAAATTTCGCATATGATGCAATCTCTTGCAGTGAACGCAAAATGAATTTTTTGTCAAATATTTCTGCTCCATTATTACACACATTGAGACCATGTTGAATCATATTTTAGTATTCTATATATATCCAATAGCGTAATGAATCAGAGATAGATGTAAACTCCTGAAACTCAAAAACTCAGCCATGCTACCAAACAAAATTATTATTAAATATTAAAAATATTAAAGATTGGTAGGTTTATAATAACTGGAGCCAAAATGATTTGATACAATACTTTTTTGACTCCATAATAATTACAAAATAAAACAACTTTTCAGCAAGTCTCAGATGCATTGGGACAGCAAACAAAATTGCTGATTTTGGACTATTGAAAGGAGATTTGCGTACAATTTGCATATTACCCTTTCTGTCACTAGCAATTTCTAGTAATTATATACAATTATATACTTAACATAAACAAAACTATGATGAAATAAATTTATTTCATCATAGTTTTGTTTATGTGTAGAGGTATGTGCTATACATGACCTGGTACGTATTTACTATAATTAGACATAGTCTTTACCTTGCCGTTTATTCGGTGTTATTTGCTTACTTATGTTAACTTATATTAATATGATTGTATACACAGACATTATGTTTTGGTTGAGTTACATCACATGTATATGGTCTGTCCTAGTAGAATTTCGAATAAATTTATTTCATCATAGTTTTGTTTATGTTAAGTATATAATTGTAATGTTATCGTCAAATAATTTAATAGAATTTTTGATCTATCAAAAAAATTACTTGAATGTCAGGAACTATTCATGACAGAGGTTCTGAGTTTGTGAACTTTTAACGTTTAACTTTTGAATTGAAAAGCTCCAAACATTTTGCCAATAACATGTTTACTTAACTGTCCCTATAATCAGTTACAATCAGTTAAAGGACAATTGAACTGTCAGTCAGGTCATCATGACATTCCTGCCATGATCCAGTCCTCATTTCATGCACATGCTGTAACCTTGTCAACCATTTATAAATAGATAAACGAACTCAATTTCTTTGTGGAAGACTCCATTTAAAACCCATTTATAATATTTTTTTTAAGAGTTAGAGACATTAAGATATATAAATTTTGATAATTATGAATTTACATTCACAACTATAGGATTTATAAATAAAATCTTAATTTTATTTATTTACAGATCCCAACTTTGTGTCGTCTTATGAAATTGGATCATATATTTATTTTTACTTTCGAGAGACAGCAGTAGAGTATATGAACTGTGGAAAGGTATACTATAAATATTTGTTTCTGAGTGATGTGTTTTTCACTTTTCATGCCTACATATGGAAATTCAAAGCTCATATTGAAATTCAAACTGGACAGGTTCAATCTGAATGTTAAATAATTATCTAATTAAATATGCAACCAATCATATTATATCTTACAAACTTTATGGCGTTTTACTGTGGCTCACTCTGATTGGTTGAAGTATGGGATAAAGCTATACAAGTTGGACCTGAGATAAAATGTTAAGGCCGCAAATTTTTACATTTCATCGTAGGGGGAACTTTATATCCAAATAAGTTCAAAAACTTTAAAACACACTGCCCAAAACATAAAAATATGTTTTAGGGAAATTCTCTGCTTTGGAAGGCATTTAATTCTGCACAAAATTTTAATAGCAAAGAAAACCACCCCTATTTTTAAATGGAATATGCTATAAAACCTGGAATGTTTATGATGTGAATGAAGTACACAGTGCTACACTGTTCTCATTTTCATACTGAAATCGTAGCAGATGGACCCTGTATGCAAGATCTTCTTAAAGATCATTTTGATGAATATTCATGATCTAATGCGAAACATCTTGTAGCCAACGAGCAATGATCAAAATCATATTACAGATAGCTCAATGGGTAGCATGTAAATCACCACATTTGTTGTGTGAACTCTGAGTTTGAACCAAGCCTTTGTGTGTTTTTTGTTTAGCACGATATTTATTCTTTGACCTTTGTTGGTTACTTTCAAACTCAAATATACTTTAATCAAATTTGCTGGGACATCTAGTTGGGTCATTATTTCTGATAACAATAGAACATGTGTGTAGTACAATAACAGAACACAGATGTCTTAACTCCTAGTTGTTTAATGTCAAGTTCATTCTCTTTTAAAGTCAACAAATTGATCAAGTACAAGTATGTTTTGTTAGGGTCTTAAAAAGAGTCTATTTAACATTCCTAAGTCAAGTGTAAAGCAATGTTTCCACAAGCCACCCTAAATAATGTACTTGTCTTGTAACCATAGAAATGCACTTGTCTTGTAACCATAGAAATGCACTTGTCTTGCAACCATAGAAATGCAAGATGTTTCCTTTTTTACATACTATATTTGTTCTATTAGAAGAGCATCTCCACTATGAACCCAAAGATTGCCTAAATTGTATGATGAACCATTAAAATATTACTTATTTTGATCATAAAAGCATATGTGTAATTTAAGTGCATACGCTACTAAGAGAGCAAATCGGAACACTTTATTATACATATTAAATGCTCAATCAAAGGGCATCATTTACAGAATAGAAGAGAGTTTTATGTTGGTGTACTGAAAATATATATCTATTAAAGAACCAGCATATTATACATATTAATCAGGGTAATCAAGCCTCCTCATCATAACCCAGTAATATGCTGAAAATAAGAAAAACAAGAATTCAGACATGTCCCCCTCCCCCCATTAATACTTCTCACCAGCCTATCCCCTCCCCCCCATTAATACTTCTCACCACCCTGTGTTTGGTAAAACTAGTATTGACTTTGTAAATTTGCCACCCTACATGATTGCTAGTACTGGTATTGACTTTGTAAATGTTTCTGTCAAAACCAATCAAAAACTGCTTGATAAACTAATAAATAATGGCTGTTTAAGACACCTTCGGCGTTGAGGGCGCCCTTCAGATACCTCACCACTTCAGACATGTACTGTATCTTAGATTTGAACCAGTGATGTATGAGAGCTGTATATAATGAATTTCTATTTTCTAAAATTTTGTCTGTTTAATTGGAACACAAATAGTTAGGAGGATGTTTTGGTTTGACCAGAAACATATTCCTAAATATAGCTTTATACTTTATTGGCTGCACAGTCTTGATCAAGTTGATCTGATTACAATCTGTGGAATAGACCTGAATAATTTAGGTTACGGTATTATGTGATTTATTTAAGGGCAGTAGTAGTTGCGCCACATATGTGCAAGATGTGTGTTGAAAATCAGTGATTTACCCACAACCCAATACATTCTACCAGTTGCAAGCATCAATTTTGAAGTTTTAGACATTTGTATTTAATGAGAGTTAAATTCCCATTCATTTTATCACATTGTAAACAAAGTAAGTAAAGTTAATAAATAAAAGTATACCAGTACTGATATTAGGATTCATATCAGTAACAACTTTATAATGTCACTGAGCAAAACATTGAGATATGAAGAAATACATTCTACATTAGAAGCAATTGGAAATCTGATCTTTTTCTATGATCAAATTCTTATTTTGTAAAAAATTCATTGACTGCAATTTTCAGCTTCATTATTGTAAGTGTATTATCTCATATTATTGACAGTATGAACAAAATGATATTTAGTTTTTGAGTTGGTCCAAACCTTCTTAAAATCACATTCTCATTTTGCTAATATGTAAAATATCACTCCCAGAACAAGCTTAATACATAAAAAATGTAAAAATTATATTGAAAGTATATATCCTACCCTTACTTTCCCACCTATTTTATTTTGAGAGTACTGGAGGGTCTTAATTTTGAGACAAACATATCTAAAATGTACATGTAGCGGATCTTCAAGGATAAACAAAGCCTTCTAATTTGGTGCATGTCTGTTGTTTACAAATCTAGCTAATTGCCGATTTGAATTCATATTCAGCAGCTAATTCCTCCACAATCTCACATTTGATGATGTATGTATTGGTCACAGATTTGCAAAATTGAAATGTAACTTTAAACGACTGCTTTTGTATGAATTGGATTGATGATAACCATCCAGGTCAGGGTTTAATCATATACCTGGTAAATGTCAATAGTAAAAAGAACCGGGTGTGAAAAAAGTCATCTCAGAAATTTGATAGACTGATTTTGTTGGGATCCTGAGTCAAAATCAAGGTGAGTCAGATTCTTGACTGATGGGGATGTTGGTCTACAAGAAAAATTAAAATTGTTTGCAACTGTATAGGAGGCACAATAAAAAATGTTTTTGCTTCAGAAAACCTTGTTTTTACAAAAAGCAACTTTTATTTTACCAAATTACAAATTCCATTACTAATAAGATTTTTTCAAGATCACTATATCAAAAAATCAGCACAACTAGTTGCAAATGTTTTTGCATCAGTGGCATGTCATATCAGTTAAGAGGGCACACTGGTCTACATAGTCCTTATCAATGTTTATGTCTGGCTTGGTTTCCACCTAATAGTTGAGTCGCTGACAGTCTTAGGTGTGAAATATAGTGCCTGTGCTGTTAAGTCTCAATCGTACCATTGTTTGTTCCATACTTGAGGCTTTCATGTATCAAATTATCTCAAATCATGCATGAAAACTCATTTCCTTTCTCTAAAATTTAATGACTTCTCTGTTTTCATTTCTTATATTTGTTAGAAAGTACTTTATTTCTGTGTGAAAGTTGTTTTAGGGATTGCAAAGTCTGAGTGTAATTACAATCGCAACTAAAGTCAAACTAAAATTTCGATCTTACTGGCTGGGACAGTGTTTTTTGGTGACAATAAAGCCTATGGTTTGCCTGCAATATTAATAAACAAAACAAGTATTACCCCCCCCCCCTCCCCAAGTATATTAAATACACCACTTAAAATGTTTTATGACCGTCGTGTAATTGACTGTATACTGTTCACCAAATTCCATCTTTCAACATTTATTTTGTGATATGATTCGCATGTGTGAAGTAATGTGCCACCAAGGCATATATCATGCACATTATATATATTCATATTACGTGCTTTGGGAAAAAGTCACCATAAAACTGATAGATGTAAAAAATGATTTGTATACATTTATACTTGCTTTATGTTTTATTCTGAAATATGCTCTTAATATTAATTTACTAATATTATGACTCCAGTAAATTAGTTTTTTATTTGTGTGTAAATTTTGAGACAGAGCCATTACGTGTAGGTTAAAGGTGTTTCAACTCAAGACCCTTAAGCATTTATTGACATTTGTTTGTTCGTGCAAAAATTTTGTTCAATTAATTTTTATTTCAATTTTTAGCATGAGTAGTAGTCAAAGATCGGTCACTGGTAGCATAGTGGTTGTCACATCAGACTCATGATCGATAGACCCAAATTCAAATCCTACTATAGGCTGAACATTAAAAGGGTTGACCCCTACCCTGGTTGAGTGTGTCTCAGACTCAATGAGAAGGCCAATCCACTGGCCAAGATTTATTCACTGACGAATGCGACATTGGGGGAACCTTGGTTAAGGTCTGCAGGTGCTTGTGTTTGACCGAGCCTGGTTGACGCCAGGATAGCGCATTAAATTGCCATTTGATAGGGAGATGGCCACACAGCCCTGTCATGTAGTCCCAAACAGAAAATGACTTCTGTGGCAAAATGTCAGCATTAGCACAAAAAAAGTCAGGAGAGACAACAGTGAGATTCAATGTTTGGAACTGTCGCCTGGCACAAAAAATTAAAAAAAAAAAAAAAAAAAGAACGAGTAGTAGTCAAGTTTAAAAAGTTATGGTATCCTATAATTCCATGGTGCATACAATCACTCCTTGAACTTACGAACAATTGTTATCATGAAGGATTATGAAGATCTATGGAAGGATTGACAGGCATACAGTGAATTCTCTGAAGTGGGACTTTAATGCCAACCTTGTTATAAATTTAAGATTACTTAAGTTCTTAAATTCTACTTGATTTCCAAAACCCATGTGCTCAACTTTTACAAGTATTAAAGGTTGATCCATTTATCTAACTTTGGTGTATTTTCTTTCACCTTTCTGTTTGGCATCATTTTAATGAAGTAATTGTATACATTTTGGAATTTATATGGATCAAATAGAGATTAATGAAGACTGTTATTGGTTAACCAAAAATACACATGTTTTCCATCACTTGATTTGCTCTAACCTAAACCTAACTTTCAAAAATTTAATACATATATTTGATATATATTTCTATTTTGTTTTTTACAGACTATTTATTCCAGAGTAGCCAGAGTATGCAAGGTAAATTATTTCTATACAATACATTATTTCACTATTCCTAACCAATCAAACTCACAGTGTATCTTTCTACTATTTTCTTTACTGACAATACTTGCCTAGTACTCTACATCATACATCTTACTGCAATATATATTGCTTCATTTACTAAGATGTAGAAATAATAAAGTGAAAATAAAAAAATTATACTAAACTAGACCCAACTATCGGTAGCTCTAATCACATATCTACCTTAAGATGTGTTCAGCAAAACTGTCAGCATTTTAGCTGGCAATTCTAGGGGGCAGACATATGAACATTTTCACCACCTGGCAACCATCACAGTGAAAACAAATGCCGAAAACTCTCAGAAAACTGTTGTTTGAGATACGTTGTTGAGACCCTCCTGAACTGTGTAATTATTATCCTTACATATGCAACATATATAAATTTGGTTGCTCAGGATTACTTCAAAATTGAGTTTGTGCTGTTTCTTCGACTTGAGCTGTTTTCACAATCTCTTCAACCGGCATTCCACAGGAGCATGTGCAAAACCTATAGAAATACATGGTACAGTGATGTATGTCTTAGAAACATAGAACGCTTTGTGACGTAGCTCCACCCCAGAGAATAGACTATATTCTGTTCACTGTGAGATCCTGTGAAATGGAACATAAAAACAGGACAAACAAATGTAATACCCGGTAGTGTCAAAACATTGTGTATGATTCAACAAATGTAGTTTTTTGGAATTTTTTCACTTTTAATAATGTGCTGTATATGATTGGTCAATTTTGATGAAGAAGGATATTTCAATGCCATATTCCCCTTCGAAAGATCGGCATTTTTGAGCTGTAAAAAAAGAAAATTTAGTTCAAAATCAAATCATTTGATACATTTGGGAGGCATTCGCTCCACACATTTCACACAATATAGTAGTGACAGTAAGCTGTAACCACATCACACTTTATAGTCTTGTAATTAAAATATATTGTAAATTTATCCCATAGAATGATTCTGGAGGTCACTTTTTACTGGAGGATAACTGGACAACTTTTACTAAAGCACGTTTAAATTGCTCACTTCCTGGAGAATTTCCATTTTATTTTGATGAATTACGTAAGTTTTTAAAAATTCACACCAATATATCTTAGGTTTCTTCTTTATAATTTCTATAGTCGATCACTTGATGGTGTTATTTCATCATTCATCTCAAATATAACAACATAATTTAATTTGGGGCAAGTTGTATAGGCAAAATAGTTTTTGTGTTTCGTTATCTGAATTTCAGAAAGAGTTCCATAAGGTCCCTAACCTAAACCCTAACACTCCAGCTTCAATGTAATTGCATTCGCCTCTCAAGATCGATTTATAGGTGTTGGGGCCCAAAAGAACTCTTACCTGAACTTCTTACAAGTGTCTTTCTCGTTACAGAGGGTACATTTTATATTGAAGAAGAAAACTTGACTTATGCAGTTTTTACAACAGTCAAGTGAGTAATGGTATTATGTTTTGAGTTAGTACTTGGAAGATGTTGATGGTTTACTATTACATTTTATGTAAAGTCACTAAACCCTCAAACATTGAATCTGGTGAAACAAGCATGTAGAGTATTTTCTATGAGATGCATGCAAGTGTTGTATCTTAAATACAAATGAATTTGTTGGTGATGCTCACAACTACTTTTTATCAGTGCAACCTATGACTTCTAATGTGATCTGTCTAGCATATCTGTATATCGATGTGTTCCAGTGGGCTGGAAACTTTGGTACTGATTAGATAGGTGAGGTGGCACATTGTTGACCTGTTGGGCTCTATGTCCCTACATAGTGTAAGCAGCCAATAAAAATGGTATGGTACATTTTGTTTATGTGCTTCAAAAAAACAATATTATTTTTGCACAGTTGAAAACCAATAATAATTTTACCTCTTCATTTTTGGTATGAAATCTGATAAGTTTATAAGATAAATGACCATAATTTGAAAAAAAAGCACTTTTTTAAAGTACACTTATCATAATGTTATACTTGTCAAACAAGCTGAATTGATGCCATTGGTCTGAAGTTAATTGATGCTCAAAACTGTGAATGATTTCTGTTACTGAAGAGTAATTTATTTTCATTTTTAAATACGTTTTGCAGAGTTAAATGAACAAAGATAAAATCAAATTACTTTTCTGCCTTATGGTTTGCATGTTATAAATTTGGAAAAATTAATTACTGTACATGTGTCTAATCTAATTAAGGTATTTAGCAAAAACTAAATTCTAAAAGTAATTCACAGTAATAGTTAAAACTTTGTTTATTGTCTATCAAATTTTAGAAATAGTATACATGGTTCAGCAGTATGCGTGTATGATACAAAAAACATACATGATACATTTACTGGGGATTTCAAATACCAAGAAAATGCGCAGTCAGCATGGGTTAAAATAAATAACCCTGAACCAGACTTTCAGGTAAGTGTGACTGAATTTACTTAGTGTTTGTGATCAACCAGAGAAAGTGAAGTTGATGCATGGAAATATTGAGTTTCCTGTGTTGGTCTCATTGGTTTTATAACCTTATTTTTTACCTTGCCCGTACCATCAAAAATTTTGTCCAGCGTTGTCGTCGTTGTTGTTGTCGTCGTCGTCGTTAATAATTGTTATTGTGTGCATAATAACTTTACTAATTCTATTCCAAACTTTATCAAACTTGGTCACCTTATTCATCAGTATAAAGTCTTCCCTGAGTTTGAACAACAGATGTCCTGTATGAAAATATCATGCAAAAATTGAGAAAATCTGATAAAATATTTTGACTGTTTCTACTGATCACTGGTGATACACATCAAAGGTCACTGATCTCAGTGGAAATATGCATTGTTGTATGTGTTCAATGAAGCAAATGATTTATCTTGTAATAATATCCTTGGTAATGTATCTCAGAATCCCATACTGGGTTTCAAAACCAACTCATGGAGAGATTGCACAGTCTGATACACATTTGCAAACCTACCAATAAAATCTTTACAGAAAACAAGATGTCAGAAAATCAATATAAGCACTCCTATGAACTGGGTGCCTAACTTTGATCAAGATCTGAAGCTAATAGAAAATCTGTTTAGTTCAAAGTTATCAAATCAAAAACAATACATAAAAAATACATTAAAAGCAAAACATTTCATCCACATTTTAAAAAGAAAATTATTCTAAAATATATGTATTCTGTATTTGACAAGCAGTTCATTCGACAAATGAAAACTCACAGGAATATGTTTCAGCTATTAGAACAGAATGATAGAGTTTTTATATACTAGTTTAAAAACACACTTCAAAGATTGCAGTGTTTGAGATGTAGATTCTCAGAGGCAACAGTA